GTTATTCCTGCCTGGTGCCCTTGGCTTTCACCTAGGAGTACCTAACAAAATATTCATAGGTCGGAAGTGTGAAAAGCAAGTTTCTTCAGTAGTAATAAGTCTCTTCAGAGCCTCGACATTGTTTGCACAGAAGGCTGTAGCACACCCACGGTCGAAGTTGTTAAGTTTGCCTTCGCAGGACTGTGTGTGTTGCGTTGTCATTCAGGTTTATTTTTCTGCAGATGGGAGGCGCGATGCCTCATGACACTCAACATGCTCCACTTTATAGCACGTGCCAGAGAAAGAGAAAATACCACAAAAAAATACTCTGAGATGGTATTTTTACCACACGTAACAAAATCTCTCTTTTTTTTAACAGCCCTTATGAAGCGATAGCGTTGATGACTGGAACGTTTGAGTAAAGGAATACTTACAGATTCCTGTTTTATAAATTAGCTACTGGCAAATAAGATGGGTTTCAATCATATGTAAATATCAGGGGTGCAGACAATTTCTACTTTCTGTGCTACAGTGTGATTATTTGTGTTGTTAACAGAGCTGAGGTCTTCTGAAAGAGAATACTGGAATAAAGTACGCTATACGATCGCCCGTAAGAAACTTGGTGATGTGCGTACCCGAGACAACTGCGGGGGGGGCGGGAGCGTGGGGGGGGGGGAGGGTGTAGGAAATACAAAGGCAGCGTGACCAAGAATACTGGTCAGAGTTTGGCTATATGTCATCTCAGTCTTTCAAGGTTCAAAATACATATTGCTACTTACATGGGTAAATGTTTATTAGGATGTTACAAACATTCATTAAAATATCTATAATCTTTCCAGTACAAAATGCAAGTGTAGATAAATTTTAACATTTAATGTTAACCATAAGGTTTATGTTTTTGCAAGTGTACACTAACTTACATGTATTCAATCAGAAAAATAATAAGAGCCGTGAGAACTGCCTTTTCTCCACTGCTCTGAAGTGTCTTTCCGCCCCGAGTGACAAAACCCATTTGTGTGTGTCTCTTCCCAGGTTCTCTGTTCCATTCTATTGGTCTCTATGTTTAACTTTGAAACAATGTCCAATTATGGTATCTTTAAGATAAATCTTAATCTGTAGAATAAATCCTACTTCATTTTTCCTTGTGGTCTTGTCTATTCTGGTATCTCTGTTATCATACAAATTTTCAAACTGGTTCAAAAAAAGAAAAGGAAGGGAGGGCAGATGGGAGGAAGGGTGAGAGGGAGGAAAACAAGCTACTGTTTGTGATCACATTAAATCTATAAGCCAGTTTGGGGAGAATTGGCATCTTTATTATATTGGTTTATCCAATCCAATGTCCCCTTATTTATTTGGTATTCTTTAAGTTCTCTCAATTATCATCTATAATTCTGCATAAAGGTCTTGTACACCTATTATTTTTTCTTAGACATTTGATATATTTATATTAATAAAATATCTTTAATTTTATCTTCTAATTTATTACTAGTTTTTAAATATACACTTGATCTCTGTACATGAACTTTGTATCCAGCAATCGTGATAAATTCACATATTAATTCTGATCACTTATCTATAGATGCTTTTAAATTGTACATGTACAATTACATATAAACTACAAATAATGACATTATCACCCAACATGCTGCATGGCCTATTTCTGGATATGTTTGCTAATAATGTATCTGTGAATATAAAATATATATATCTATCCTGTACATTTAATATATACTATTTTTTTTCATGAAAGAGATCTTTTTTTCCCCTCACAATGTCCTTAACACACTGGTTTTAGTATCAAAATTCTGCTGGCCTCATTTTTAAAGAAAGTTGATGACTAAAAGTATGTAAAATTGGTGTCTTAGCCTATTGGCCACATGCATTTGGTTTGTTTCAGGAAATGATCCCAGGTAACAGATGGAAGGACCTGGAAAGGGTGAAACTGGGAAGGAGTGGACACAAAAATGAATGTGCTGGGAACACATGAGGCTTACATCTGCTGGGATCTTCCAGGCACTGATGAAGAATGTGCTTTTGAGCTGCCCACTCAAGAGAAAGAAGGTAACAGCAACCAGGATGGGGCAGGTATGGTTTTCCCTGTGGCTTCTGACAGGACACATGGGAGACTTGTGGGAACTTCCACCAACACTCACCCGTGGGCAACCTGGAAGTAGGAGCAAGTGACATCCCACAGACAACCATTGACCAATGGGGATAGGAGACTGTGGATACAGGCTTCCCTCTTCTGGATTAAAGGTAAGTTGACAGAAGTGAGTTTGAGCATTAAAGGTACTTGCTACAGTTGGTATTATTTCTTTCTCAAATGTGTGGTAGAATTCACTGGTGCAGCTGTCTGTGTCCTTTCTTGTGGAAAGGTTTTATTTAAAAATTCAATTTATTTAAAAGATGCAAGTATTCAGATGTTCTGTTTCTCTTTGTGTAAATTTTAAATTGTATTTTTCTAGGCATTCATTTCATCTAATTTGTGGTATTTTGGCATATGATGGTTACTTTTTTATTCAATTAGTGTTTGTTTAGATTTACTCACAAAAGTTAGACATTTTCTTTGCTCACTATTTCTTTTGCCATATAGGATCTTTCTAGGATCATTGTCTTCCTCCGGAGGTATATCTTTCAGAATTCCTTTGCTGGGAGCCTTGTTGGTAGCAAACTTCCAGTTTTGTTATCTAAAAATATCTTAAATCCATCTAATCTCTTGAAAGATAGTTTTATATTATACTTTGTAGCTCTAGGTAGACAGTTATTCTCTCAGCCCTTTGAAGATAATAATCCTCAGGCTTGTATTGTTGCTAATGTGCAGTCAGCTGTTAATATAACTCCTGTTGGTAAATATGTTGTCTTTTCTCTATGAGTGCTTTTGAAATAATTCTATGTTTGTGTTTTGCAGTTTCACGACAATGTGTTTAGGTGTGTGTTTCTTTGAAATTACCATGCCCGGCTGGCATTTATTGAGATTTCTGAATCTAAGAATTCAGCCATTTTTTCTCTAAATGTTGCCTTTCCCCCATTTGCTCTATCCCATATATACAATCTCATATTTGAGTTTGATTGTATAGGTATTTTTTAAGATTATTTTCATTCATGGATTAAATTCATGGTTTTAGTCCCCATGTTATTTAGCACTTAAAAATTTTTTTGTCAGCTCTATTTCTCCAAGTTTATCTCAGGGAATCCTTTGTGCTAGTATTTAAGCTTCATTTCTCCAGAGGTCATTTGCATTTGCTTCTTCTGCCTGGCACTACCAATCCAAGCACACATGAAACTACATTTTTAGCTTGCAGGTTTTCATGCTATTTGAGCAGAACTCATTCTAGCCCCAAACACCTATGAGCATGGGGGCTTGTCATTCTTGGCTCAAAAAGAAAATTGTTTTAGTTTTCCACCAGTTTAACCATAGTGATTATCTATAAAACCAGATTTTAACCAGCTTTTAAGAGGTGGCTATATGTGGAGGGGATTTCTCTGTGAATTTAATCTGCCATACTGTTCTATATTTTATTTTCCTGATTTCTTCAGACTGCAGCATCAGGCAGATCCAATGACTGAAGTTTATAATATATTAGAAATATGCCTGTCATATATTATAATATCTTATATTTGAATAGCTGGAAAGACAGCTTCTGTTCATCATTCTAAATTGCCTTCACTCTTTTCAGGTGCTTATTAATTCATATGTTTTAGAATTTGTTGTCAAAATGTATTATCTGTGGGGCCCTGATACGCATTATATTAATATATACTGTTTCTGTGTGTAAAGTTTGGGAAGAATTGGGTTATTTATAATATTTAATCTTACCATCTACACACTTCTGGTTAATAGTTTTAAGTTTTTTTCCTACGTCAGTGAAAAATGTTTTCCATGATAGTTTCTAAATAGTCACTTTGGGATTACTAGTTATTTTGAAATGTGTTGTTTTTAACACCATTTGTACAAATGGCTTTAATAGTCAAGTGTTTTTCTTTTTGTCTGAACATGGAAGACTGCCAAAAACAAGCAAAATAAAATAATAAATGCCTCAATTAATGCCTTTCCCCCCAAAATATGCAATACTACAAAGATTACTTTTCTTTGCAGCCTGAGCAACCCTTGAAAAGGAAATACTAATTGCTCTTCCCCTCTCCTCACCCCCTTAATTTTTGGGAAAGAAATGAAATTATTGTGGCTCTCAAAGCAAAGAACGAAAAATTCTTCTTAAAATGGATATCTGGGAATTCAGTACCTCTATTCAGGCCCCTACACGTTGCACATTTCATTAAAGCATAGTTTCCACTATTACTAATTGCTGTCAAAAAAGATATACACATTGCTGTTACTTTCTAGGGTCACTGTCCGATGCAAAACTCTGAGAGGCAACCCACTTTCACAATTCTTCAAAGTTCAAAAGCTATTTTGTCCTTTTATCATGTAGACGGTCACCACCCCCACCACCCACTCTCTTGAGCATTATACATTTTAGTAGTTAGGTCTTGGGAAATATTCAGTGAATTTCAACTGGGAGGCATTTTGGATGGAAGTGAGGATTTTTAGGGTTAACTGTAAAACCCATGATAACATAGAATAAATTATACCCAACGAGTGAACAAGTGACCACTAGTAACCTTCTGTTACAGGCCTTCCATCCACCAACCCTCACAACGCCCCCACCCCCCACGCCCGGAAACCTAGTTTATTCAGACTACAGAAACACTGATTTTCCTCAACAGTCATTTAGAAAACAAATCATAGACATAGAAATAACTTTTTCGCTGGAGGATTATAATTGCAGTATACGACAGAAGATCTCAAAGCAACCTCAGACAATGCCTTGCCCTGAATGAAAGAAGATCCAGGAGATTAGTGAAAGACGATTCCTACAAGCGTGTGTCCTGACCCGCGAAAAACCGTGAGTCATTTCAAATGCCGCCGCTGGAGGACGCTCCGGAGAAACTTGACCGCCAAGGGATCCCACACCCCGGGGCCACGCCCTCGTTTTCTGGTTTACAAGCTGCCGTGCTCCTCCCCAAATTCTCTTCCGGCGAACGAAGGTCTTACGTTCCCGGCGCGTGACGCAGCACGCTTAACTATAAATACGTGCCGGCGGCTGCCGACTTCCCTCTGATCTCTCGGACGACGTGCAAGATGGCGTCGGTGAGTGAGCGTGGTCTAGCTCAGCTAGTCTTACCCCCAGATGCGCGGTGTGCGTCTGGAGGGTCGAGGTTGTCTCATTAGAGATAGAGGGAGGGTAGAAATGGAGACTGTGTCAGGAAAGCAGCCAGCACGTGAAACCTCAAGGTGGTTTTTCCACGCGGTCCTGTGGCGTTCGGGCTGGGCCCGGCCTTGGCTTAGGATGAGTGGCCGTGCGAGCGCATGGAAGGAGGCACGACAGTGAGCGGGCCTGGTGGCCCAGACAGCATTTGTGTCATTTCTTTACTCTCTCGCCCTGGGTGATGCCGGTGCTGCTCGTATTTACTTGCACCAGGAAGGAAACATTGGTATCGGGCGGCCCCATGCCCCCTGTTGCTAGAGAGAACTACAGAAGTAAGTTGGGGGAGAAGTTTGTTACCTCAGGAAGGACTTATTTTAAAGGTACAAGTTACGGATCTTAGACAAATATAGAAGTGATGTGCTTTAAATATTTTACTTATGTTACTGATTAATAAGGGGACCAGCAAGACGTTAAAATGGGTCCAGAGAGCATTTGAAAAATTGGGGGTTTGTCGGAAATTTTTTTAAAAAACGTTGGGGAGGGTAATATTGCTGGGTTATATACAAAACTGGGTGATGTCCAAGGGGGCGTAGGCTCCCTGGGTTATCTGTTCCACGGGACAGCATCTCCTAAATTAAATAGTGCCCCAGCAGAGCTATAAATTACACAGTCAAGCCCAGCTCCTAGTAATCTTTTTTACCACTGTCAAGTTTTGGGTAATATTTTTTGACATAAGTTCCTCAACTACCTACGAAAGCAAACTGGCCTTAGTGCTTGGTATCCGTCTGGGTGGATCTAATTTGGAGGTGGCAACCTCTGAAAAGTACTGATATGTCTGTTTGACTACATTGTCTGAACGTGTGTATAGTTAGCCACAGCGCCATTTCATTTGTGTAGCTTTACTACATGGTAATTGATCTAAAAGTTATGGGTCTGGAAAACTTAAGTTACCTATAGCTTTTAAACTAAAAAAAAAAAAAAATCTTTACCAGACTAAAGGTCCTCCTCCCCTTTTCTCACCTGTAACAGCGTAAGGATTGAATTCTCTGGATTTAAGTGGTTGTAATGGAGCTTGCACTATGTGGCGTGCTGTTCCCAGCTGCATTGGGATGGCAGTAGTAAAGCAGTGCCTGTCCTGTAGAAAAAAAGCACCTGGTAATTTAAAACTGGACGTGGAGAATAATAAAGGTCATAAAACTTTTCTCAATAACATAACAAAGGGAGTGTGATTAAAGGCTCAAACATCTGAGTGCGTGTTTCTGGTTTTAACTTGGCAGTAGGTGGATTGATCCCCTTAATCTTTTCCAGTTGTAAAAAATGATTTTTTAAAGAATCTTTTGATGGAGGAAGCTCACCATATATTTTGTGCTTTGAGTTTTGTATTTGTGAGACACTCAGATGACAAATGGAGAGTCTGTTGGATTTTACAAAAAACTTGGTTTACATGAAGTTGAGTGGCTGATGGTAAATTTTTAGAGTATTATACTATTTCATATAACAGTCTCATAGTAGTGTACGTCATTGCACTGATTTTTGAAATTTGTATATAAAATGAATGGATTTTTTTAGAAAGTCATAATTATAATAACTTTCTGTAGCAGAAAGTCAAGAAGCCTAAGAAGACAATCTGGAAGTTTGGTTTGGACCTTACTCACCCAGTAGAAGACGGAATTTTTGATTCTGCAAATTTTGTAAGTATCACTCTACTCAGTTTATTTTTATCTTTGTAGATTTGTAGAGTTCTTAATAAGGATTAAGTATGTAATATTTGATTTTAACCTAAACTCTATTCCTAGGGTACCTTCCCTAGTGAAAATCTAGGGTTTCCTTCCCTAGTTCTACATTTTTTCTGTTTTAAAATAGGAACAGTTTCTGCGGGAAAAGGTTAAAGTCAATGGAAAAACTGGAAATCTTGGGAATGTGGTTCACATTGAACGCTTCAAGAATAAAATCACAGTTATTTCGGAGAAACAGTTCTCTAAAAGGTTAGTATTTGTTTCTCATATTTTACTGAAATTTTGGTAGCTGGAATATTTATAGAATATGTAATCCTAATATTCTATTCATATGTGAGAATAGATATGTTGATGTCTGTGAGATACATCAAAAGTGCTTTGAACTTTAATGAGGCCTATATGAATGGAAAATCTATCTGGTTAACAGTTCTAGTTAATTTAGGCTGATTGTCAGTAAGTGTAAGTTAGTGTGAAAATATAGGCAGATAAGTTACGTCCAGGCCTCTTGTCCAGTGAATTATAGGCCCTGTAATCCAGGTTGTATATAAACTAACCACTGGGGATTTGGAGATGAAAGGAAGTGTCTGTCCTCGAGGGTCTTATGGACATGCAGATAAATATTATAAAATGAGATAGGAAGGGCCCAAGAATTAGGAGAAAACCTGAAAACTGTTGCCAGTGAAGTGTCAAGGGAACAGCATTAGCAAAGGGCAGGGAGGCTGGAGACGATTTGCTAGTTAGGAATGCTTGTAAAGTGTAAATGGAAGGGAGTGGCTGGTGTGATGAAATTAAACCATACTGACAGCTTTTAATAAGGGCAGCCATGTGTTAGTTGCAAGGCTGTGGATGATCTTAAACTTGTAAGTGGAACTTGTTGACAGGTTGCCCCTCATTGATCCAACATGGGATTGAGGTTTGGAAGGTTGATGGTGCTGGAGTTAAGTACATGATGCATTTGAAGAATGAAATTGTATATTTAGTTTAAAAATCTTACTGTGGCAGTAAGGTGGAAGAAAAAGCTACTAGACTGCTCTCCTTCATACTGTCTTCTAACATAAGAATATTAGGTTTAATGAGATGAGAGAAGGGTTTTGTAGAATATAAACTGATTCTAACTGGGGTTGAGGGGCTACCTTATTTGTATCCTTAGCAATGTCGCACAGTAGTTAATACAACATATTTTGGAGGGAATTGGGAATCCAGAAGATGAGTATTACAGTGCATATCTTGTATGTAATGGGCCTCTACATAGTAGTTATTATTTCTTAATGAAATTCATGTTTTTGTATTAAAGATATTTGAAATATCTTACCAAGAAATACCTTAAGAAGAACAGTCTTCGCGATTGGCTTCGTGTGGTTGCATCTGACAAGGAGACTTACGAACTTCGATACTTCCAGATTAGTCAAGATGAGGATGGATCTGAGTCTGAGGACTAGGCGGGGCCTCCTTTTAGAGGGCTCTGCTTAGCAGCGAAACAAATGATGTATTCCAGAGAAACATCTAGCACTGGACTTAATAGTTTACTGTGAATAAAAAGCACAGCACTCTGTATGTTAAGCTTTTGTCTCTTATTTAAGTGTGTGTTATTTATATGATACTGGCTGTCCTCTGATAGTTTTATTAGTGGTATTTACATAGCTTATAGCTAGCGGAATTTATCCTAGGATTTCTGAAATTTTTACTGCTTTTGCAAATGTCCTCAGGTTAAAATATGTAGTGTCGTGTGGGAAATAATGAAGTACAGTTAGGGTGTAACTTTAGTGTACAGTGTGTAAATGCAATCCCGAGTGCCTAGAGCAGTTCTTGTTATGTACGTGCTCAGTACTGACTCATTCCTGCCCTCTGCTTCAGAGGATGTTGGCTTTCTAATTAGCGTAAAGTCTGGGTGTGATGGTATTGCTCTAAACCAATATTTAATTGCCAACCAGAAGCCTATAGGCATTAGAAATAGAAAACCAGATCTTAACTCATACGGTCTTAGCCATTAAATCTGTTTCTTGTCTGAAAAATTATAATTGACTCAGCCTGCTGCATTTTGTCTCCTTAACTCCTTTCTGCACCCCCGCCACCACAATCATTCTAAAAATGTAGGTTATCTATTAATTATTTAGAACTTCTAAGTGGATGGACCTTTCCCTGTAAATTAAGAGGCCTTTGAGAATTCTTTTAAGCAGAATGGTTTGGCAAAGTCCAGACTGCACGAGAGAAAAACAATAGGAAGGTTCAATCAGTTTTGGAAGTGTTTGAAATATGTTTTAATTTTCTTGATTATTTTATGAGCTCCTCAATATGAATGTATTCAACGTCCTAGTGTGGCATCTCCTTGGTTCTTTCCCAAATGATTGTAATAACTTTAGAAATTATATCTGTCCTGTTCTTGGAATAGTTCATCTTATTGAATGTGAGGAGAGAGGCTGTTAATGGTAGTGTCCTGTGGAGGAGTTTTGGAGAGGTGGATAGATCTAAAGATTTTATAGGATAAAATCTATGGGCCTTGATGATGAATGGTGGTGGTAAGGGAGAAGTGTCGAGGGTGGTACACTTGCTAGATATCTAGGTGGCATTTGCTGAGTTCGGTCACAATGGAAGAAGGCAGCAATAAGGGAAAGGTTCAGTTTAGGCCATGCTGAGTTTGAGGTCTAGAAGACAACAGGTGTGAAGTTGAATACATTGGTCTGCAGGTAAGAGGAAGGGTTTAGGTGATGTCTGCTAGCCTTACGTATGTAGGTAGTAACAGTGGGCATGGGTAAAATTGCCTATGGAGCATGTGGAGTGAGGATCACGTATTGCAAACGCCAACTGTTTCCTTTATTACTTCTCTAGGATGATCTTTCAGAAACATCTGGTTGTGTTATTCACATGTTTAAAGTTCTTCAGAATTAACATCTCTTATTGTGTAATAGTGGCTGGGTATATTGTGCCAAATAAGATACCATGCCTTTAAGGAGTTAGCAGGTTAGTTGAGACAGGTAAATCCATTTATTAAAAAATACATGTTTGAAGAGTCTAATTTCTCTATTAGTCCCCTGCATTCTGCTTCCTTCCTCCCCCCTCAGCCATTTAGAAAGAAAATTATGGCTTAATCTGTGCCTTTATATACACCATTAGTTAAGGGCTAGCTTACTGTGCTTGCTTCTCCACATTACTTTTTTCACTTCATATCCTGCAGTCAATGGCTCACTGCTGTGTGCATGTACCATAGTTTATTCAACCAGTTCATCGTTTATTCAACCAATGGGCATTTGAGTTGTTTCCAAGCTGCTATAAATAGTGCTGAATTAAAAGCCTTGGGCACATATCTTCTCTTATATCTGCCAGTAAATTTTTGGAGTGGATTCCTAGAAATGAGACTTCTAGATCAGAAGAGAAAGGAATTTGTGAGGCGAACGTGATAACCACTACACTACAGAAACTGCCAAGAAAGGAATTTGTAATTGTTTTTAAATCTTCATCCAAGGACATGCTCATTGAGAGGGGAAGAGGGAGAGAGATGACAACCTGGGACCAAACCCTCAACCTTGTGGTTTTATGAGACAACACCCCAATCAACTGAGCCCCACCGGCCAGGGCGGGAATGTGCAATGTAAATATACCTGGCCATTTCCCTCTGTGGTGGGGGAGGGGTAATACCAGTTTACCTTCCCACCAGCAGCAACTGAAAATGCCCGTTTTCCCACAGACTTGCCAACGTTATATTGTCCAGTTTCAGTTTTTCGGTCTGATAGGTAAGACATGGTTTTCAGGATAATTTTAATTTGAATTTCTGTTGTGAGTGAGGCTGAGTGTCACTTAAGAGCCATCCATATTTCTTTTTTGGTGGGTTACCTGTTCATATCTCTAGGATGTATATAGGCTTCCTGTTTTTATTCATCTTTTAAAGCTTCTATATTAAAGCTGTCAAACCCTTGCTTATGATTAAGATGCAGATTTTCTTTTCAGTTTGTCATTTGTATTTTCTTCATATTTATGGTGTTTTTTGTTTAGTCTTGCTCTAGCAGATTTTTTTTTACTTTTATGCAATTGAAATCTATTACATTTTCTTATTGCTTTAGGATTTTGAGCCGTTAGAAAAATTTTCCTTATTTCCAGGTTATTGAAGAATTCATGTTTTCTTCTAATACTTATATGATTTCAGTTTTTAAATTTAGGTCTCTGTTCTATTTGGAATTTACTGTGGTTCACAATTTAAGAAGTAGGTCTAATTTTACCTTTCTTTTTCCTGTTGGGAACCGCCCTGCCTGGTATCAGAAGCTGTAACCCCCAACTAGGCTAAGGCTGAGGGAACAACCTTGGACTGTAAGCCACCAAGGAGACAAAAGCTTATCTCCCTGGCAGGAGCACCACTTCTGCTCCTTTTACTTCACCCTGCCTGGCCCCCAATGCTTGGTCGGGTAGCCAATGACGGGTAAGATTCACCAAGGGGAGAACGATCTAAGACAGGCACAATCACGTGGCAGGTCCCCAAGGAAGGACATTGAGGGGTACGGCAAAAGGGGGTGATGGACCCTTGCCCCTTGGCTTTGACAAAAGCCTGAGTCCTCATTGTGTGTGAGAAAATCTAATCTCTTGGCTGCCTTACTTCCCTTGCTCCACCTAAGCCTGAAACAAGGACAGAGGGTGGTGTCACCCTGTGCTGGAAAGGGCGGGTTCCCTGGGTGATCAGGCCTAAGAAAGAATATGTAAAATCCTGTGAAACCTGCTTTGTTTAGAATGCTCTCAACTGAATGATAAGGGTCCAAGGAAGAAGTAAGTTTGTTCCTCAAAGTTTTTACAGCTCTTTGACCCTGACTCAGAATAGGCCCTCAGACTTCCTTGTTATCTATTGTTTGATTCTTACTTCCTAGCAATGAGTAATGAGCTTTACCTGAATTCTTATGCAAACGAACCTAATAAAAGCCTGCTAGGCGCTCGCGTAGGAGGGTGCTCTCCCCTAGGGAGGGTGGCCATGGCACTCCCCACTAGAGAGAGTGGCCATTTCATCCCTATTTCCCCAAAGGACTTGGTTGTCTCTGCATGTTTTTCTCATGTTTCAACGAGCCATCTGCAGCGTTCTGCAGTCACTGCTGGTCAGTGGCCGTGACATTTTCCCATGTATATACCCACTTATATACCATTAACTCTGATTCTAAAATACTGAGAAAGTATAATACTTTGATTAACTCTGCTTTTCCTACTTATCTGGAAACCCTTGTTTGTGGTTATGCTGAAGCAGTTGGAGAGTCTACTTTTATAACTTTAGTGTGCCGCTCTTTACAAACTGGATGACTTAAAATTCAGAAGAGCCACTGTTAAATAATATGTTACTGTTTATAAGGGCTTTCTCTTTTCTTTTGATCAATGTGGCAGAATATTATCTTCCCTGTTTTGAACAAGCAGAAACTGGGTCTCAAACAAATTGCTTCCCCAGGATCACACAATACCATCAACTCTCAGTCCGCATCCAGTGCTCCTCCACCCTAGGGCTGTGCCACTTCCTCACCACACAAGGCCGTGTTGAGGCCACGATGCAGTGGAGGAGCCCAGTGGGCATCCTGAGTCCTGCCGCTGCTACCTACTAGCTATGTGACGTTAGACGCACCTCATCCCCTTTCTGGGCCTCACTTTCCTCATCTGTATGTAAAGAAGAGTGGAAATAGATTGGTGTTGGTCAGACTTGAGTAACTCCCTTTCCTCCTTTCGATAAACACAGATACCTTATGTTTTCCTGTCCCCGCCCTGATTTTCATCTCCATGATATGACTGATGCACATATATCCCTCAGCAGCCAAGGTTTGGGAGTCTTTATTCTAAAACCACAAATTAAGATTTCAGTTTTCTGAATATAAATTTATAATGTTGGCCTGGCTGGCGTAGCTCAGTGGATTGAATGTGGGCTGCGAACCAAAGTGTCGCAGGTTCGATTCCCAGTCAGGGAACATGCCTGGGTTGCAGGCCATGACCCCCAGCAACCACACATTGATATTTCTCCCTTCCCTCTCTAAAAATAAATAAAGTCTTAATAAATAAATACATTTATAATGTTGAATGTTATTGATACAAGCCTGCCCCTCCCCACAAGGAGGCATTATCTAAAATGTTTTCCTGCCCTAAGTCTGGTTCAAAGAACCGGAGTAGGGATCAGGGATCTTAATCATGATCTATTGAATATGTTTTCTCCAAAGGGGGGTGAGGGGACTATTAACATACAACTGCTCTTTCCTTGTCCCTCTGAGTCCAGAGGGTGTAAATTACACAAATTCCAGATGTTACAAAGGTATGGTCATTGATTTCTGTTCTGCCCAGGCTCTGTCCTAAAAACTTACCAATGACTTAGATGTGGTCTCTTGCACCCAAGTAGTCCACAGTTTTAATGGGGGAAGCAAACATAAGGACAAACAACTTGAGTTTGTGGTTAATGCCCTGATAGGCCACGATAGACCACAAGATGCTTGGGAAGCTCTTCTACCATAATGAGTGGGAAAGAGCACCCAGGGAAGCCTCCTGGAAGAGGCGGCTGACCGCAAGCTGTCTTTAAGGCAGAGTGGGAATTAGTGGGCCAAAGAAGGAGGAAT